TTGGTACGTCGTTCGCAGATCGCTGAACAAAGTATTCGGCAGTCATCGATTTGTTATCGTAAACTCCTGGGGTCTTTTTCTCCATGCATCTTTTCCCTCGGTCCGATTCAATACTTGCAAGAGGTCTATTGCGACTGTCCTGACTAAACGTGTCTGCTATAAGAAGACTACCAACTGTTATTGAGCGATCGGGCTTGAACAACCCAATCGGTTTCAATAGGCCCTTTCAAGGTTTATTCCGCCATATTGCCGGGGGTGCAAAACATTGGGGCGAGCGCGCGGCCAAGCCATGGCTGCCATATATTTTTCTAATGAGTGAGCGATAATTTTGTGTGGACATTTTGTTGATTTTCTCATGCTATATTAAACGATAGTCCAATTTTTTATATTCTGGCTGATCTGTGTGTATTTTCAAACTACTGGTAAAGATTTCAATGGAATCTGATTGGGGAAAATCCGTGAATATTCTGATTTCTTCGACACCTTTTGGCGAGCTATTTACAGTGCGTTCACGACAACGAAACGCCGAAAACAGGGCTTTTTCGTCTTTGTTTGTTTAAGCAAAACAACATTACAAAAGAATCATGTTTAAAAACAAGACAACAGAGCTGTTGGGAAAGAAGAAAGACGTCCAGGTGCGAGAGTGTAACCTAATACCGATGTCAATCTCACCTTTAATATCGAATCCAAAGGGTATATATTGAGAGATATTGAGAGTTTGAGTTGTTTATATTTTATGTTCTCATAGGAGGATTATATTGCAAATGGATTATATTACGAGGATTTCGTTGGGTTGACAGAGTGGGAAAAAGGTTTGAACATGTGGCAAGAGCATTTATTAAAGAGTATGAATTGGGTGCTTCAAAGAAATTTACAAGGAACATACTAGTTTTTGATAGATTAAATAAGAAGGAATACCAACATAGGCTACAAACTAATGATATTATTAAGAGCGAGGCTAGCACTCTAGCTGTGCGATGAATATTGGAAAGATGACATTCAAACATGGCCACATCTTGATGATGGAATGCTATACATTCTACGAGTAAAGGCAGTGGATGTTGAATATATTGGCAAATACAAAGATGAGAGGGCCTACTCATATTGGATGAGTGGATTTGTTGATATAATTCATGTCGCTAAATGCCCCATTGACAAGACCATGACATTTTTTTGTAAATTCAATATGTCCATCACAAAGGATGACTCACATATAAAAGTGTGGATGTGTGTCCTTGAACAGCTGGAACAGTTGAGCATGTAATCATGTACTTGCAGTCTTCAATGTATTAAATAAATTATGCTTACAACATGTCAACAAGCAATATATTTCCCCTGCCTGTGTGCCTGTATCAGTGTTCCCCAAGGATAGAACAAAGAAACTTGAAAAGAAGCAAATCCAAGCATGCAAGGTTAAAAATTTAATATTTAGACCAAAATTCTGGCTGCAATTAAACAGTGAGGGAAGAATTTGACCCCAGAAAACCTGAGGACAGAAATATTACCAATGAAAGAGTTTCTTTATTATTCATTGACTTAGTTTTAATTTTTCTCCCCTATGTACAGTTCCATAGACAATATTTACATATTTTTCCTTATATTAATTTGGGCTAAAGACCTATTAGATACTTTGTTAAGCTTTTTGCTTTAGGCCCCTAGTAAAGGTTTATAGTTAACTGTTAGATTTATAATATATTATTTTATTTTACAGTCAAATCAGAGAGAGCATTTTCAGAGTAATAGAGGAACAATAATATGCAAATAAAATAATATGCAAATAGAATGTTTTCATCAAAAAATGCTGCTGAACTTGTTTTTTGAAGATGTATTGAGAGTTTATGTCTTTATTTTTTATTCTAGTGAGTTCCATACATCAACTCCATTATTAGAGAGAATATGTTTTACATAATTTGTTCTTTTATACCACTTGTGAAGTTTTGATGAGTTTCTTGAGCTACTTTGATGAATTTGATTGATAGTCACAAACATTTATCAAATACTTCAGGCAGGTTTTTAAGATTATTGAACAGCATTGTAGATACTATTCCTTCTGCTTGTGTTTTGCTCTCAGTTGGCTATGGGGGTGGTACGTCCTATGAGAACAACAGAAACTCTCAATATCTCTCAATATTATATACCCTTTGGATTCGCCTACTTTTAGAATTTATCTCTTATATCTAATAATTACTAATAGTATGTCATATAATCAAAGGTAAGATTGACATTGATATCAGGTTACACTCTCGCACCTGGACGTCTTTCTTCTTTCCCGACGGCTTTGTTGTATTGTTTTTAAACATGATTCTTTTGTAATGTTGTTTTGCTTAAACAAACAAAGACGTAAAAGCCCTGTTTTCGGCGTTTCGTTGTCGTGAACGCACTGTAAATAGCTCGCCAAAAGGTGTCGAAGAAATCAGAATATTCACGGATTTTCCCCAATCAGATTCCATTGAAATCTTTACCAGTAGTTTGAAAATACGCACAGATCAGCCAGAATACAAAAATTTGGACTATCGTTTAATATAGCATGAGAAAATCAACAAAATGTCCACACAAAATTATCGCTCACTCATTAGTAAAATATATGGCAGCCATGACTTGGCCGCGCGCTCGCCCCAATGTTTTGCACCCCCGGCAATATGGCGGAATAAACCTTGAAAGGGTCTATTGAGAAATCATCCTTGTCAGTTGTGTGACGTACCCTGTTAAATATTTATACTTGCTCTGATGTTCTCATCGCTATAGTAACCACTTCAAAAATTCCTTAAGTGCATTCATGGCTAAAGGCATTCAACTGTAAAGTGTTGGTGCATGCAGGTTCTCAGGTTATGGCAATATTCGACATTAAATCAATCGCTCTTAAGTGGTATTTTTTCACGGCGTCTAGTGCCTCGGTTTATGAAGAATTTTCTCATGTATTCATGAAACAGTTTGGATTAAATTCACAGCAAATTGGGATTACAAATCTTTGTGGCATTCAGCATATATTTATACCGCTATTGTTATATGTGGGCGACAGATATCGCGTGAGGAATCTAGTTATTTGGATCGTGTCGCTACTTTTGGCTATAAGTTCTATACTTCTACTTCTGCCTATTGTTGTTTCGCTACCTACGTGCTTTGGGACGAAATCTGGATCAAATAATTCATGTAAGACTATAGTATATAATGTGTGTGACAATGTCTGTTGATTGAAATGCCCCGGAATGTGCATTTGAGCGTACTCGACTAAATGAGCACGTACATTGCCAGCTTGTTTACGTGTGATATTTTTCGGCGGCAGTGTCACAGTGGATACCGTCCCGCAGGCCGCAGAAAGAGTGCCTCCCCGGACACTATTTGCTTGCGGATTGTTTCTTCCCATGACTTATATAGATCAGACGTTATCCTCGCGACTCGCGCGGCGAGTCGCCATCTCAAATTCGTGCATAATCAATGAGCGGTAAACCAAGCAGGCTGCTCCATTTACTGTTCTAGGCATTTGGACACTGTTCTGGAACGATATAAAATGGAGTGCACACGGTGTTCTGGAACAGTGTTTAGTTTATTATATATGCGTGCAACCATGCATTATTATATTCATTAGTTATTCGCATAATAAAGCGTATAATGATTCGCTGTTATTTGTATATCTAATAATCTAAGTATGCTTTTGCAACGTTTTTACTCGTTGATTTTGCCCAACCCAGGCGTTCAAATAGCATATAATAAGTACATGTCGATATATAACGGTTAACCCTTGAAAATAACGCTCTATGCAGTGTGCATTGGATATACACAAAATATGTCGCCTCCATTTCCAATCACGTGAAAATAGGCAGTGTCACGTGTCTGTTCTGGCTTCCCCTACTCGTAAATCGGGGTAGTCAGAACGGTTCAGAACAGTCATGTGACTGTCTTCTGTTCCATTCCATTCCATTCCATTCCATTAGTGTTCCGAAAATCCGGAGTACTCCGAACAGTAAATGGAGCAGCTTGATAGGAATCACAAGTGTGACGGCAACTGGATATGTGATCTCAATTAGCATATAGGATTTCCTACACAGGGTGTCCCAAAAACGTATGCCTTTTGAAATTTTCCTATTGTAATAATTTGAATTTCTGAGCATTATGCTGAACCCTCGGAAGCGTAAAATACAGGGTGTATTGAAAAGCGAGATCTGAATAAATAACTCTATTATATTCCAGGGGCGGCGCTAACTCTCTTCGAGTGGGGGGGGGGTGTGAGTGATCTTTTGCCGACTGTTGTTTGGTAATTTTGCCGAGTCATTAGCCCATACCATTTGATT